ATACTATAACTGCCTGGTTATAGAAGAGCGAGGGAGATAGAGAAACAGGCAGAGAGTCAGAGACAGAAAGAGAGATAGAATTCCTAGAAACGATAAATAATGAAAGCTGGGTGTGTAGTGAGAGGGAGAGGGAGCAGAGGGAGAAAGAGAGGGAAAGGTTATGAAGTAAGGAAAAAACAAAGTGATGAAATTGGTATGGGAACTGGGGAAATGAAGCGTGAGATAGATAGAGGAAGTTGTAGTCAGAAGGAGGACTGGGGAAAAAAGCGGGAGTGAAGAGGGATAATGTGTGGGGAGGGAAGATGGGAGGATGATGAGTTTCAGTGCAAATAGATATTATTAGGTATGTGTGGTGGAAAGGGAGGGAGGGAGGGGAGGGGAGGGAAAGAATGGAAGGAAGGGAAGGAAGAAGAGGAGGAAGTGTTGAGAATGGAGGGAAGGAGTGAAGAACAAGGAGGGAAAGATAGGATGGAGGTAGGGTGTGGAGAGGAGGGAGGGCATGGAGGGTAAGCTGTGGTGGAAGCAGGGTAGGGAAGGGAGATAAATAGTACCAGAAGGTAGGTGTAATGAGAAGGGTAGATACGGAGTGAAGGAGTAGATGGAAGGGGTGGGGGAGAGGAGGGGAAGGGAAGGTGAGGCTTGAGATAAGGGAAGGAGGGACGGGCTACTTTACCAAGAAAGAAAGTTTGGGCATCTCTGAGTGTGTATCAGACAGTGTGTTGTTTGTTGCCTAATTATGTTGTTAGGTAAAGTTAGTAACGTTTTAATAAAGACTAGTACTCGAACAATGTTTCTTCTCACCCGTAACCATAAATCATCCCAAACTAATTTTAGATCTTGTATGTTGCTGAACTTAGTTCATATAGAAGGAAAATATACCACGACAACAACAACAACATACCATACATGGATTTTGTCACATAATACAAAGTAGGCAAATGAATGACAATAACAAGTAAAATAGAAAAAAATGGATTAATGATGAAATACAACTAAAAAAATTAATTACTGAAAAAAATTCCCTGGTAATTCTTACAGTACATCTCTGAATATAAATAGACTACATGTATTAAACCATTTTATTAGGCGTTGCTAGTTAATGGAGATATGACCAAACCTAGTGTGCAACTACTACCATGAAGCTGTTACTATAACACTTACTAGTAAAAAATTAAGAAAAACAATAGAAGAAAAAAGGAAAATGTATCGATATCAAGACAATATTTTAAGTACTACAATACCAAATTGTAACAAAATAACATTTAAAAGAAAATGCTGTAAAAAAATATTTCATACAAATATGACGTGCACAATGTCAGGTGATATTACCAGTTACAATTATTACTGTCTGACAATTAATGTTGTGATATTGTCTTATGAATCACTGTATTTTTCTGTGTCAGGGGTGTGAGTCAAGAGGATGAGTTAATGTGTCAGGGAGGTGTGTCTATGTGTCAGAGTGTGAGCCAAGATGATGAGTCAGGGAGGTGTGTCTATGTGTCAGTGGTGTGAGTCAAGAGGATGGGTCAGTGCGTCTATGTGTCTGGGATGTACGTCAAGAGGATGAATAAGTGTGTTTATGTGTCAGTGGTGTGAGTCTAGAGGATGAATCCCTGTGTCTATGTGTCTGGGATGTAAGTCAAGAAGATGCATCAGTGTGGCTATGTGTCAGTGGTGTGAGTCAAGAGGATGAGTTAATGTGTCAGGGAGGTGTGTCTATGTGTCAGAGTGTGAGCCAAGATGATGAGTCAGGGAGGTGTGTCTATGTGTCAGTGGTGTGAGTCAAGAGGATGGGTCAGTGCGTCTATGTGTCTGGGATGTACGTCAAGAGGATGAATAAGTGTGTTTATGTGTCAGTGGTGTGAGTCTAGAGGAAGAATCAGTGTGTCTATGTGTCTGGGATGTAAGTCAACAGGTTGAGTTAGTGTGTCAGGGGTGTGAATCAGGATAAAGAGGAAGTGTGTCAGGGGCCTGAGTCAGGGGTAAATCAGTGAGTCAGAGTGGTGAGAGGTGAGTCAGGCGAATGAGTCAGCGTGGTGAGTATAATGTTAACACTGTGTCGTGGTCTCATGAGGATGAGAGACGTAGCCAACTCCATGTGTTCCTGACCCTCAGGTAGACTGAGCTCCGCTGCCAACAACAACTTGGCCAAGGTGATTTTCGTCTCCATCATGGCGAACCGATTTGCTGAAGTAAAACACAAGAGATATATAACCCAAAAATGCGTCAACCCCTCCTCCACCAGCATATTTCACCTGTAGATTCGTTTCCCAGCTTATTTTACTCGAAGGTTTACCCCCACCAGCGTGAAATTTAACCACCGTAACGCTCCTTTGGTTATGTTAGGTCAGTTCAATCGATCATCAACACTCACCTATGCAAATCCTGGGGCCTAAGCCGAAGGGTAAATAAGTGGCAGTGGTGATGGAGGATTTGTTCTCGGGAAGGAAACGATCTGGGAGGAATAGCTCAGGGTCGGGCCAGTAGCGAGCATCATGGTGCAGACTCCATATCGGAATTACCACCATGTCACCAACACGTACAGTCAAATCCGTCCCGGGCAACCTATAATAAATTATGTAGGTAGTTGTTGTTCTTCTTTCATGGACAGTCGCAGGAGGTACTATTTGCAACCAACATCACACAGCCAGTGGTAACCCCTTGTAATGGTGATGTTGGGTAAATGTAAAGTGAAGCATGGGTTTACTCTATGCTTCATCGTGGTAGCCTACTGTATTGTGTTTACTTCTACACGTTCTTACATCACTACTGTCAGTCACGTTCTGGGGAAGTGTAAGCGGGTGTAGGCAAGCCATCGCATATCTCATGTCACCATGCCATGAAAACACATATATATACGAAGTTCCCAAGCGCTTTCGTGTAATATGCTGGTTATCAGAATCACGCGCACCTACGGTGATTTACTTGCATATACAGTATATATATATATATATATATATATATATATATATATATATATATATATATATATATATATATATATATATATATATATATATATATATATATAAAGAACATAAGAACATAAGAATGGAGGAAAATGCAGCGGGCCTATTGGCCCAAAACACGGGCAGTCCGTTTTACACCCAACCCCTATTGCTCATATGAGCATCCAACCTATGTTTGAAACAATTCAGCCTATTCGAGTTAATGATGATATTTGGTAACTTGTTCCATTCATAAACTACTCTGTTTCCAAACCAGTGTTTACCTATTTCACGCATAAATCTAAATTTGTCTAATTTAAAACCATTGTTACTAGTTCGCTCCTGGTTGGATAGTTTGAGTACCTTTGTAATGTCCCTTTGTTTAGCCCTGCCTTCCACTTATACACCTCTATCAGGTCGCCCTCGCTCTACATCTCTCAAGGAGTGCAAATTAAGATGCTTTAACCTGTCTCTATACTAGGTTCCTAATGCCCAGGATTAGTCTTGTCATTCTCCTCTGAATTCTTTCCAAGGATTCTATATCATTCTGTATAAGGTGACCAGAACTGAACTCGTAATCCAGGTGTGGTCTCACAAAACAGATACAGATTTAGAATGACCTCCTAGTCTTGTAACTAACACTCCTTTCGCATGCCCAAGTACTTTATTAGCCTTTGTTACGAGCAAAAACACATTGTTTACTTGGCTTAGGTTCCTACTTATCATTACTCCTAAATCTCTCTCTGAGTCGGATTTCTCTATGGCATCGTTGTTCATCTGGTATCTGGTTTCCCTGTTTACATCTCTATATTGAGTACTTTACATTTGTCGACGTTGAATTTCATCTGCCATTTTCAGACCATTCGAAAAATTTGTTTAGATCTTCCTGTAGTTTTGCCTAGTCCTCGTCAGATTTGATAACACGTCCTATTTTAGTGTCATCAACAAATTTACTTATGTTGCTGTCAATGCCGATATCTATGTCGTTTATGTATATAATAAATAATAATGGTCCAAGTACTGAGCCTTGGGGAACTCCACTTGTGACGTTGTCCAATGGGACTTAGTGCCGTTAATGCTCACTCGCTGTTTCCTGTCCTGTAACCACGCCTAATCCATTTAAGGATGTCACCTTTGATGCTGCAGCTTCTACCTTTCTAATTAGTCTTTCGTGGGGACTCTGTCGAAGGCTTTGCTAAAGTCGAGATATATACCACATCATAATTATTGCCCTCGTCCACCGATTCGAAAACTGATGAAAAGAATGTTAATAGATTAGTTAGGCAAAGAAAGTCCGCTTGTGAAGCCATGCTGGGAATCATTGATCAATCGGTGCTTCTCCAGGTGATTTCGAATAGCGTTTGAAATGATTGCTTTCAGTAATTTGCCTACTATTGATGTTAGACTCATTGGGCGTAGTTAGAAGATAGTGATCTATCCCCTTCTTGAAAATCGGTATAACATTCGCTATCCTCCAGGATTCTGGTACTACACCTGTTTTAATGACATGTTAAACAACTTTGCTAAGGGCATACTAAGCTCTTCTTACATTCCTTTAATACTCTGGCAAATATTTCCTTATATATATATATATATATATATATATATATATATATATATATATATATATATATATATATATATATATATATATATATATATATATATATATATATGATAACCACAAGGAAAAAGAAAAACACGAAGTTCCCAAAGCGCTTTCGTGTAATTCACATCTTCAGGGGTGAGTACAGACTAAAATAGAAGTGCAGAACAAGTTATTTTTATACAGAGGAGGGTGAGAACAAGTCCACAGACGTCAAGTATAGGTAATGACCCTACTAATCTTTACAAAAGCACCGCAGCGGTCGGTAGTCAGGTCAGAGGAAAGACCCAACCTTCTCACCTGGTTACAAATCTTCTTAATTACAAAATTGTCTAATTTGTACATACCGTACATACCGTTAACGGATTCGGTATGTTTAATGAGACTAGAGTCTATACTGTTCCTACTGTCAATTGAATTACAAGGTAATATTGAGGAGGCATTTTCCCAGTCAATGCAGTGAGGGCGACATGATAGAGGTGTATTAATGGAAGTCAGGGTTAAACAAAGGGGACATTACAAAGGTACTCAAACTATCCAACCAGGAGCGAACCAGTAACAATGGTTTTAAATTAGACAAATTTAGATTTCGGCGTGAAATTGGTAAACACTGGTTTGGAAACAGAGTAGTGGATGAGTGGAACAAGTTACCAAATATCATCACTAACTCGAATACGCTGAAGAGCTTCAAACATAGGTTGGATGCTTATATGAGCAATAGGGGTTGGGTATAAACGGGACTGCCCAGTATGGGTCAATAGGCCCGCTGCAGTTTCCTCCATTCTTATGTTCTTATGTTCAAATGAACGAACAGAGCATTGGATTCCTGGCCTGTCCTAACACTGTATTTATGTTGTTTAAGTATAATTGCAAGATCTATACCTGTTTGGCCTAAGTAAAACCTATTACATTCCTTGCAAGGAACTTTATAAATGCAGCCATTTGTATTATTGGGGGTTCTTGATTAACATCTGTTTAACAGTGCATGAGTTTTTAAATGCCACATTGACGTTCCAGGTTTTTAGTTGTAAAGGAATTTGAGAGAAATTTTTGTGAAATGGTAATACTAGGAGATTCTTATGGTCATGGGTGAGCTTGGGATCAGTTCTATAAAAGATTTCTTAGTAATGTTCAGGCATTTGTCTATGAAAGATCTAGGGTATTTAAGGTTTGGGCCAATAATATAGATATATTTATATTCCTCATCAATGAATTCGGGCTGCAAATTCTCAAAGCACGTAAAAACATTGTTGAAAATACTGACAGTTTAACTCTATTATGGTGGGCAGAATAATAATGAATGTATGAACACACATTAGTAGGTTTTCTATAAATACTGAGCTTAAGGTTTTACCTATTCTGTGGATCAGACAGTCTAGGAAAGGCAATTTACAGTCATGCTCCTAATTCACAGTGAATTTGATCGAGGGGCTAAGTTATTAAGTTGTGGCAGGAACGCTTTTAGGTCCTCATTACTAGGCGAGAGACATATACATCATCTACATATCTAAACCAGCAGTCTGGTTTGGAAATATATATATATATATATATATATATATATATATATATATATATATATATATATATATATATATATATATATATATATATATATATATATAAATATATATATATATATATATATATATATATATATATATATATATATATATATATTTATATATATATATATATATGTATATATATATATATATATATATATATATATATATATATATATATATATATATATATATATATACATCTTGATAAAATCACACGGGAAAATGGAAACAACAGGCACCTTAGTTTTCGTCTTTTATTCAAGACATCTTCAGAGGCAACTGAAGATGTCTTGAATAAAACAGCAGAATATTTACATTTTCATTGTGGATTTACATGAAATATATATACTTATATATATATATATACATATATATATATATATATATATATATATATATATATATATATATATATATATATATATATATATATATATATATATAAATATATATATATATATATATATACATATATTTTTTAGGACAGTACAGAGGAAATTCCAAAGACTCCTCCGTGACTTGGCATATACAGCATAATTTTATCACCCAAAAAATATCCATGACTTACGTTTTTTTCTTTTTCGGTTACGTAAGAACTTAATTTATCATCTAGAATTATGTACTAAAGAGGATTATCTCATATCCTAACCTCCTCCCTCTCATACGTCCACCAGCTACATTATCTTATCACGTAAATCAATTATTTTAATGATATGGTAAGTGATTTAGCTCACACCAAAAGTCAAAGTGAACTGGTGGCTTCGGTCTAAATGAATGGAACCTATTGTCTAAACACTAAGGTGAATGTTTATCGCAAGCGTAGTGTGCATTTAATCACTTTTTTTTTTCTGTGCAGGTCAATCTTGTTTCCGCGAACATATTTATGGCTCATTCACCATCTTGGAAATGCGGTATGAGCCACATGAATAGGGGGCTCTTTATTGATGCCTCAACTTACAGAGTAAAAGGCAGTTTGCTGCACAATGGCAATGCTTTACCTTCTCTACCAGTTGTACATTTTGTTATCTTGAAGGAGATTTATGATAACCGTAGTTTCATTTTCAGCTGTATCAAGTATTCTTATCGGTGTTTGGAGGGGTTTGTATGATGTGTGTGTGTGGGTGGTGCAGTGTGCGGTGTGTGTTTTGTTGATTAATGGTATGTGTTTCTGTGTTATTGTAAGTAAAACATACCGATAAGTTTTGGTACAGCGGCGCTCAATATTCGGCGCTGGTGGATACAACCTGAGCGCCTCTGCAACAAAAGAAATACATAACGCGTCATATTACAGTTTGATAGATGATATTGATATTCAATAAAATCGGTATTCAAGTTTACATCGAGTGAGGATGTGGACAGACTATGCCGATATACAATATACCTAGAAAGTACAGATATACAATATGCTATACATAGACTACAGATTTTCACTCACAGTAATGTATTGTATTTTTTACATCTATGAGTTTCTTTAATTTTTAATTGTGAATGTTGAGATTACATAAGCCTTTAGAGAGAGAGAGAGAGAGGTGAGTCGAGAGAAGGAATGGATGAATCAGATGAGCTTTAACATGGCTTGCGTTGTTCAGCAGTCAAAGGTAATTTTTCGTTCTATGCAGAGAGTTTGAATTAGGTCACTTAATAATTCAAAGGAGATGCGTTTGTGGTGTTTAGTTGGGCATGTGGTTAGCGGTAGAGCAGAAAGGTCATCATAAGAGAAGAAACGCTTGAACATGCTAACCTAACCTAACCTAACCTAACCTAATCTAACCTGTCAACATAAAACCTAACTAAATAATTAATAGTCCAACCATACATAATCTAGCCTAACTAAAGCCAACCATACGTTACCTAAGCTAATCCAACTAAAAATAACCTAACTTATCCCAATCATACATAACCTAACCTAACCTAACTAAGCCCAACCATACATAACCTAACCTAACCATACATACCTAACTATATCATACAAAACCTAATCATATCATACATAATATAACTCACCCATTATGCAAGCCTCCAAAAACTTTGAGTCCAAAATGACTTGATAAGTTAGTTCACCATGAAGCTGAACTAACTCTTGCACCTCCCGGCGGACACGTTGTTGGTGTATTGGATTCTTTGCTAGGAGGAAGGTGATGAATGACAGGGTGGAGGACACGGTGTCGTAGCCAGCCAGGAGGAACAACACGCTCTGAGCAATGATGGTCTTCTCGTCCAGAATAAAACATCATAATAGATAAGCAAAAAATTTATTTTATACTACACTGTACATGTATAAATAATCTATATAGCAGGATGTCTCAAAATATGTATACACAATGACTAATAGAGATTTTGGTGGCGATCGTGAGGACTTTGTTGCAGCAGTCAGCATTGTCCTCACTGGTGGGAGACTTCGCACATCAACAAGTGATGCGATCGCCACGAAAAACTGGGTGTTTGTTTGTTTATTTGTCTTTCTACTTTATTTAGTGTCATCTCATGCCTCGGATGGATAAGAAATACTGTTCGGGGTTACTTGTCAATGTAAGAATCTTTATTTTATTGAGTTGAGCTCGCTAGTGCACTTGGTATATTAGACCTCAAAATATTACCCAAAGAGGTGACAAGGTCAATATTAACCCATCTATATCAGTATACGCTGTCAATAGCAATGAAGAATGATGGAAATAGAGAATGGGAATCTGGGCAAATGAGAGATGCGCCGTGTCACTGCCTGTCCAAGAACATAACTCAGACACCATTCTTTCCAGCCTCACTGCTGTACGTAGACGTTCCAGACTCTTCTCCTGCTTTAGCTTCTTCTTCGCTTCTTGGTTTGTGTCTGTTACTTCGCACCATCTGTGTGTTTTTTAGTCAGCAGTGTTGTTTTGGTAGTTAATGGGTTGTTTGGTTTGTGCAGTGCCTTTCGTGCTTCGGCCATTTACAGGCATTTTACTTTTCCCTGTTTACGTGTTTTAGTGCCCCCCCCCTTTTTGCTTCTTGTGTGGTGCTTCACGCTAAGGGCGTCGTTTCATTGTTTGTTTTTCCCCACTTGGATGGCCCTCTTTTTAAGCTCTCTATTTGTGTTTTCTCTTGTCCAGTCCCAGGCACCGAGTCATTACTCGGTTTTGTTGTCTGGCTCAGTTTTGGTGGCACAGAGAGACGTCTGTAGTCCCTTCTTCTTCCCTGCTCCATTGTTTTCACCTTTTTATTTTTTGCATCCCCAGCTCCAGAAGATGCCCTGCTCGGCTCTGGGGTGTTCGGCGAAGTTCCAAAGGATGGCCACTCCGCCTGTACATGCCCAGTGTATGGTGTGCTCTGATGGGTGGCAGGGCTTCTCCGCGACGCCGACAGAGATGTGGACACCTTCCACTTTTTCTGGCAAAAGCTTCACCACCACTGGGCGGCATCCTCTAGTTCCGCCAGACACCGGGGCTTTCCCCTCTCTTGGAGGGACTAGGATCTCTGTTCTCAGTTGAGGATGCATCGCCACCTAGGCCCCTTGGGTAGAGACTACTGTACCAAGGACCCCAGGCCGATCTCCACTCCTCCAACTTCCCAATCGGCCACCGGGGAGCCCACCTCTCCCGCCCTGGGGCTTCGCCTCCAGCAGCTCTCCCTCTTGCCCTTCCGGGAGTCGAGTGCTCACTCTTTGTCCTGTCGCCACCGTCACCGCTTGGGGATGACGCTAAGTCCTTATACAACAGGCACCACCCATCCAGGTCGCCTAGGACAGCGGCCAAGGAGAAACGGGCTAGCTAGGTGTAAGCGGCGGTCCTCCAACCCCGTGACTCCGCCAGGGCCCCAGCTGTGTTGTCCTGGCAGCCCAGAGTGTCATTGGAGAAGAGGTCCTCACCCCCTCTGGACCTCCACCTTCACCAGCCTTTGCTAGGTGGCTAGCCTAGGACGGACCATTCTCCTCTTCCGACCTCCTATGGCTCCCAATTTCACCCGTGCTAGGCGCAATTCGATGGCGCCGCCGGTTCCCAGCCACCCAGACGTCGTATCCGGAGATGCTGGCCACCCTGGACAATACACCCACACCCCCCAGCCCTGCCATTGAAGATAATTTTTTTTTTATTATTTTTTTTACAGGGATTAGCCCACCAGGGCACAGGTCGAACGACCCACAAAGGGGCCTATAGGTAGAGGGCGAAAAAATGAGAACAAAGAAATAAAAAATAGAGAAGAAAAAGGATGTACTCTGTTAATCTACACCACGAGGATGCTGGAAAAACCAACTTTTTAAAGTGAGACAGATTGTATAAGTATAGAAACACAGAAGAAGGCAGAGCAATCCACAGTTTGGCTGTGTGAGGAAAGAAGGATGTACTATAACGGGTTATTCTAGTGTGACCAACATCCACAGAGAAATGGTGGGCACCGCAGGCAAGACTTCCCTCTTTTGGTTTCTCTCCCCTACTTTGTTTTCTCATCACTAGCTTCCTTGAGAACTTATCCATGGCAGTTGTTGTCGAGGGATCGGCTTCTCGCTCTTTCTCTACCAGTAGTGGCATCCTACAGGGTTCTGTTCTTTCACCAACTCTCTTCCTTCTTTTTATATGGCCTAGAAATCACACATCCTTAGTATAACTAAAGCTGCCTCCCGAAAGTTGGGAATACTGTACAGATGCCGCAGCTACTTCACTCCTGAGCAGTTGCTCCAAGTATATAAGGGATTCATTCGTCCTAACTTGGAATACTGCTCTCATATCTGGGGTGGCTCTTCATCTGTCCAACTATTAGATAGGGTGGAATCAAAGGCATTTCGTCTTATTAACTCTCCTCCTTTAGTCGACAATCTCTCTTTCCTTTCTCTTCACCGCAACGTTGCTTCACTCTCTCTCTCTTTTACAAGTACTATAACAGGCAATGTTCGGTGGATTTGGCATCCTGTGTACCGCCGGCAAGGCCGTGGGATCGTTACATACGTCTTGCCCGCGGTGCCCACCGTTTCTCTGTGGATGTCGGTCACACGAGAATAACCCGTTATAGTACCCCCTTCTTTCCTCACACAGCCAAACTGTGGAATGCTCTGCCTTCTTCTGTGTTTCCATGCTCTTACAATCTGTCTCACTTTAAAACGCTGGTTTCCGGCATCTTCGTGGTGTAGATTAATACAGTATAGCCCTTTTTTTTTCTATATTTACAATTTCTCTCCGTTCTTTTTTTTTTCGCCCCCCAGGCTCCGTTGTGGATCGTTTGACCTGTGCCCGGGTGGGCTAATTCCCGTAAAAAAAAAAAAGGACGTGTGTTACGAGCCCACGGCCATGCCGGCGGTACACAGGATGCCAAATCCACTGAACATTGCCCGTTAAAGTACCTGTAAAAGAGAGAGAGTGAAGCAATATTGCGGCGAAGAGAAAGGGAAGAAAGATTGTCATCTAAAGAAGGAGAGTTACTAAGACGAAAAGCCTTTGATTCAACCCTATCTAACAGTTGGACAGATGAAGAGCCATCCCAGATATGAGCGCAGTACTCCAAATTAGGACGAAAAAATCCCTTATATACTTGAAGCAAATGCTCTGGAGTGAAGTACCTACTGCATTTGTACAGTATTCCCAACTTTCGAGAGGCAGAATGATTTCGTCCTGAAATGTAATTGGTGGGAGATCGTCTAATTTAGTAAGTGCAATTGGTAAATACTGAGTTTTATTACTGTGGAATTTAACCAAGGTTCTACCTCCCCATTCAGAGATGCTGCACAGATCCGCATTGATAGAAGTAATTATATTAGCTCTAGAAACAGATCTAGTTTGAGAAATAGGCGGAAGGGGAAAATGTGAAAAAGAGTGAAGAGTAGAATCATCAGCATAAGAATGGTTAGAATTAGTTGTAGTGTGAAGTAAATCATTGATATTGGAGGCTCTGTCTTCCTGGTTCGGGACGCAGCTGCAGCAGGAGCAGACCCAGGCCCCACTCCAGCCAACATCCTGTAGCACGGAGATCCCGCCATCGCTTCCCCTCCCAGGACCTATTAGTGTTCTCGGAGTCTGGTTCCAAGCCGAGGGGGCCGGGTCCTCATAGGGGCTGCCTGACACCCGACCCGTCCCAGGGGCCGGTCTCAGCAACATCTCCAGTCCTTATAAGGCCCAGACCTTCGTCAAGAGAAGGGAACTTCCCTGCACCTACGGACGCTCTTTTAAGACACCTGATGACAACATTAGCCAGGGGGCGTACAAATGGGTTCGGGTTTCAGGGGATTGGTTTGTGCACTGGCTTTAGAGGAGACTGGCCATTTTTTTGCGTGTAAAGCGAGGGAAGGACCTAGTTCTCTCTCCCCGTTCCGACCTAAAGGCCCGACGACGGACGGACGACTTAGGTTCGGAGTATTGAGTTCGGACAGCTCCGCCTGTCGAGAAGGGGGATGACTCAGCTCCGTTAGGAACGTCCGCGGTCGTGGCCCTGGACACCTTAGACTCTCTGGCCTTCTGTTCTGTACTGTTCACGGCAGGTCCGTCCAGAGTGGCAACACTACAGGACGGTAGTAGGTGTGCCCTGGCGGCCGGCCAGTAACTCTTTCCCAGGGAAATTAGGGCCTAGACCTCCATTGGAGCTGGGCTGCGGTTGCTGGAAGGAACAGCTCTCACATCACCTACCCCTCATTGGCCCTTGCAGTTTTATCTCCCAGGATGACCGGGTAAAAGACGAGTTGATGCAGTTGTCGTGGGTTCCGAAATTAACCCAGTCCTCTCCCATGGCAGGCCTCTCAGGTTGTCCCGATTACATGACCATGGACGCCATGGAGAGGTAGAAGGCGGCCGTCGAATTCTCCACTACGGTAGGACTGGCCCAACTCGGCGCCTGGTTGAAAGCACGCCGACAACCCCAATTCCTCCACCCAGATTCGGCATCCAGCGTCTACAAGGCCCTTTCTACCCTCGCTCCTGGACTCGCCCTGGCCTCGGCCTTCAACCTTTGCCCTTCTTTCTGGTTGGGATGATTCCTGGCTCTTTCGTGGCTGGGCATCTAGGGTCGTCAGACAAGGCCTAACCTGGCAAGGGACCCGCCCGCCTCTCCTAAGGACAACCAGACTACCCAGGACGAAGCCATCTGATTCGAAATGGAGCACAGCAGCCGTTTTTCTGCCTCAACAGCCAGGGCACGGTCCACCCAGCCCAATTGCTGTCACTCTCGGAGCAGATCTTGGTGGGTACACAACATGTCTCTTGCCATGTCCCGGGAATCAAGAACGGCTGGGCAGACGCAATCTCTCGCTTCAAGGGGACGTCAGTAGAGTGGACACTACGCCAAAGTGTATTTAAGTTACTGATAGAGAGGTGGGGGCGGATGTAGACCTCTTTGCCTCTCAGACATCCACTCAGCTCCCAGTTTACTTGAGTCGGTTGACGCCGACACCAAGGCCAGATGCCTTCACGGACTTCTACCTGTTCCCACCCGCTTGCTCCAAAGTTCCTACTACTGGTCTGCCACAAACTTCGCAGCTTCAACGGAAAGGTCCTCCTCCTGGCCACCTACTGGCCAGCTCAACCATGGTTCTCAGAGCTACGAGGCTGGAGCCCTCATCCATTGATGTTGGGGAACGCCTGCCTCTTCGATCCCTTCGTTTTCAGGCTACAGAGATCACTTCACTTACGGTGGAGTTTCTGCGTGCCTCCCTGAGCAGACTGTATTCTCCTAGAGTGGTGCAGGACATCTTGGCATGAGTAAGACAATACGAGTCCTGCTGGAAACCCTTCCAGTAGTACCTCAAGGAGCAAGGATCTCCACGCCTCTGAAAGTGTAGTTCTAGAGTTTCTATCATCTCTAGTGTACGAGCGTGACAGATCTATCCCTACCATCTCCATCCACCTGGCTGCCCTCACTGACCCCCTGGATTACGGGTGCAGTGTGAAGGTTAAAAACAGGTCGGTTACCCTGCTGAAGCGGGGCCTCTTCCACCAGCGACCACCTGCTAGACCACTACGGACCTTCTGGTCTTCACTCTTCAGGCCCGGTAAGTACTACTCCTTCAGACCTGTGAACTATACTCACAACCTAGCCTGAAGGCCTCTGGCCGTATGTTGCTTGTTTTCCTTTTGTTCTTGTTACTATGAAGGTTTTACCATGACATAGATTAATCTGATATCTGTTTCACCCCAGGATCCATTCACCATCCGACCAAAAAGGACTGCCTACTACAGAAGGCCCTCTTCCTCGTAGCGCTGGCCACGGGCTTCAGGTCCTCCCAGCTCAAGGCACTCATGAGGTACGACCACTGGACCTCCTTTACCCAAGGAGATTCTGGAGTGTCCCTGGCACCTTTTCCCACCTCCCTGGCGAAAAATGAGCTGGAGAACCACAGGCTCCTGCCAGTAGCATTTCTTGCATGCAAGGTGGAGGGCGAGCATCACCGTCTCTGCCCGGTCGGGACCCTACGCCAATACCTTTCGGTTACAGCAGATCACATCACCAGCCAGCATCATCTCTTCATTCATCCTCGGTCGGGTCGCCCGCTGTCAGTCAGAGGATTGACAGACAGGTTGTGGCAGGTTGTAGAGGAGGCTGACCCTAGGAAGGACCCACGTCCCCACGACATGCAGGGTGTAGCGGCTTCACTGGCTTTCTTGAGGGCCCACTCCCTCTCACAGGTCTGGGAACGGGGTCAGTGGAAATCGGCCTCCTGCTTCAAAGTAAGATACCTGTTTCATCAAGTGTCAGACGCACCCTGCGTCGCAATGGGTCTTACCCCTCGAGCCACAGACAGCACACTAGAAAAATATTAATGTAGCTTAATCTAGAATAAATAAAATTCAACTGTCCATGTGTGTTCTCACTGCTCCCCTTACATCCTAGCATCCTCCTTCCTGTTGAATTTAGTAAGTGCACTAGCGAGCTCAACTCACTGAAATAAGGGCTTTGAAGCTTGCTGAATACCCTATTTTTGTTTATGAGCGAAGTTAGTGCATGCACTTATCCCGCCCTTCCTTCTGCTCCATTTCCCTCCTATTCCTGATGTAGAGTTTTGGAAAGGAATGAGGTCTGATTTATGTTCTCAGACAAGCAGTGACACAGCCCAGCTCTGTTGCCCAGATTCCCATTCTCTGTTTCTAATTTTCTTTATTGCTAGTCGCAGCCTATACTGATATAGATGTGTTAATATTGGCCTTGTCATCTCCTTGGGTGATATCTTGAGGTCTGATATAGCAAGTGCACTAGCTTCGCTCACTCACCAAAAATATGCTTTTCAGCAAGCAGCAAAGACCCCATTAAGGCTGACTGATGAGGCAAGTTAGGTTTGACACATTCACAGTACCCCAGATTTGTCTTACCATCTTTTGAAGGAGCTTGGGTTTGGTCGTTGATGTGCTGGTTGTTGTTCTGGGTAGTGTGGTCGTTGTTTTGGGTGGTGTGATCGTTGTTCTGGGTGGTGTGGTCGTTGTTCTGGGCGGTGTGGTCGTTGTTTTGGATGGTGAGGTTTTTTTTATGGGTAATAGAAGGTTCGTCAGTAGCACTGGCCTCCAGTAATAGGTCTAGGAAATCTCCGCGTCGCTGACCTTCTTGTCTCAGCTGTATGGCCTTCTTCGCCACATTCTTGAAGAACAGAAACTCAGGACGTTCTCTTGTAAGTCCTAGAGCACTACTTAGCTTTGGAAAAATTCTCCTAAGAGCAATTTTCATGATGGAAGTAAATGAAAAGTAAAAGAGTTTATCTGCTTGTTTAGCGAAATTTCTAATTTCATCGTCTTTAGAATCACAGTCAACACCAAAAGCACAGGAAGCTATAGTCTCTATAGTAAAACATGCAAAGTTGTATTTCATGTCAGTGTAGTATTTCTCAGCAGACTGTTTGAGAGAGAAGGAGACGAGAGCATCAGCCTTCTCACAAATGAGAGGAAACATCACGTGCATTTTGCCAGAGGTGAAAGTCGGAGACATCACGGATCGTAGTGCTTTCCACTCACCACCCATTTTATTAAATAGCATGAGGTTTACAACATTATTGTTGTTAAAGGTTCCAATACCGCGACGGTTAACGAAATGGTCAAAATCCTTAACACAGATGTGTTTTATGAGATGTGGATCGCCGATCAACAGGAGAGGATTATGTAATTCATACAGTCCACAGAATCTGGCTCCACCGTACTTGTGATAGATCTGTAAAAACAGTAATAAGAGCTGGTCAGTCCTCAAGACTATATGATGTTTGCAGATCACCTGCTAATTCCGCCTTATGATCAAAACAACGTTACCTGGGGGTGGGGGTTAGGTTAAAGACGGAGACATTGACAAACCAAGATAAAAACCAAGAGAATGACAAACTTAGATAAAAGAGGAAATATCCGAAGCAGCCACTAACCTCCCAGAAGTATAGCTGTTTCGACTGTGTGGGAGAGAATAGCTTGTGCAAGTGGCCCAGGAAAGGAAGGTAAGGTGGGGTGGACACTCCTCGGGCAGACCAATAGTTATGCCGCCTCCTGGTGTATGCCCACGATCCCATCACGCCCACCATCAATAGAATCCACACCTCCACGCCCATCACTATTAACAACCACGACCCCAGCACGCCCACCACCGTTAATAACCACGCCTCCATGCCCATCCTGTAAGGGAAATAGAAAAGCTGGTTAATGGCGCAGAGGATATACAGTAACACGATGGAGTAATACAAAAACCCGGAGCAGTATAATGACACATTTGGTAGTAGGTATACAGTAGCATAAGATTATATCAGAATAAAAAAAATACATCGCTTAACCTACTAACTCCAGAATACTTTAAATATGGCCAATCCTATGAATGACTGTACCCTTATTCCAGCTAACCTCTACCAGGCACCCACAAGACGTGACCCAGCAACGCCACTTGAACATAGGCTTTTTCATGGATAGTTTCACTGTGCAATCCCTCCTTCCCCCACCGTCTCCCGTCTCCTAACGTCACACCGCCTCATCACCACCACTACCAAACAACAAATAACAATTAGAAGGCAATTAAGTTATATTTGATAATCTGAATACAAACTATAACAAATGAGGAAATAACAGCATTCGTAAATAAGAGGAGGAATGCATGCTTAACAATTTAGTCTGACCACAATTAAAAGGTTGTGTCATGCCATTCAGCTAGATATACTGTAAAAGATTCAGAAACATTTCATAGAACTTTTAAACACCGAGTCTGAGTAACTTGGAATGAGTTGCCAGGTGCTCCAGGTAATGCTACAGCCTAGTGATTTGTCAACGTCTCATCTTCCCATTGGTAAACTAGTGAGATAATTATACATTTTATAGAACCTACAAGTCTAACTTCCTCTATCTCTAATCTCCTATGCGATATTTCTTCCTCTTTCCCTTCCTCTCTCCATTAACATGCGTACACCCCTTTAAAACCTAGCCAGTTTCCATAAAACCTCTCCCTATCAGGTCTGTGGTCTTTCATTTTAAGAAGCGCAAGAAACTTTAAACATGATTAGGTGATAATATGTGGTCGGGTGTTATATTAAATTCTGGATATGATTGTAGATATTCTTTGCAAGAATTAACTAATACATATATAAACGTCATAGTCCAGCGGACAGAGACCATCCCCCATCCCCCCCCTCTTGCTTATTTTGCTAAGGAGTATTTCTAATTTGGTATGATCCTAGGCAATATGAATCCATTAGTTAGCACTCTCAAACGTGGCGGAGGATGTTACGCATAACCTCTCAAACCTATTACACTACCAAACTAAATAGTTAATGACACCCGCATCTTATGCATGTCGTCAAGCAGTCTGATAAAACGCCTGTGATAGGCAGGTCAACTGACACAGATGTGTTATGTCTGCTGGTCCATCATTACGCTGCAAACAATCTCAAAACCCAAGGCATGATGGATTCTGGAGCAGGCAATAAACGGCAATAGATGGAAAGAGCATTGTCACTAAAATTGGGAGAGAATTAAGCCTATCTTTGCTCGTCCTTCATGCCTTCACTGACTTTCACAATGTGAGTGCCTTTGCTCGAAGAGGTAAAGTTCGTCCATGGACCTACCTGGTGAAATATCCAAACTTCATGGAATGTTTTTCAGAAAATGGGAGAACGTACAGATATAACTGATAAGAATTTTATGAACTGGAGGATTTCACTTTCAAAATTTATGGATATCAAAATGACCATCTGGTCAACAAAGTTAGATATAAAATGCGCAGTCCTACTCTCCCCATGGTTCTCTCATCAGCAATTCAACTGGTGTGGATATCAGTTTATTCACCCCATGTCATTACAGCAACACATTCTGAGGGCAAACTATCAAGTTTTTATAGGGAAAAATGCCACCCATGTACAGCCATATATCCCTGATGCTACCAATAATGGCTGGCAAATTGATTCATTTGGTCACCTCGCTCTAAAATGGATCGTCGAAAGTATGCCACCTGAGCTGCCTTATTGGTCACTAACAAACGCTTTGATGAGCAGAACTGTGAATTTGAGGGAATATTAGGTGATGATAGTGATTATGGAGATCATGCAGAGTTTGAGCTCACTAGTATGCCAGACGTTGTCTATAAAGAGGAATATGATGACTTTGATGATTGAGCTCTATTATGTAATTAATGTGAATGTGACAAAGTTTTCATTACTGTTATGTTTAACACAAGGAATGTATTCTTTAAGAGAAAGAAGCTTTTTCTTACAATTTGAACACATATATTTGTTTACTTAATCGATTCCATACTTTTGTTAAAAACTTAAAAACACAGAAATGACAGCAGCTATAAAAAACTGTAGTTAGCATTTAATACCAATTACCATAGCACATTTTTCTTGAAATTTTGGCTATTTTACAGCAATTTTCTTTCCCTCTAGATATGGACGTGAAATATATTCATGATCATCATTCACCATATACTGTATATCACAGAAGTTTTTATTATTTAATAATTCCAGCCATATTGGACGCCCATAATTGTTAATATAGTACAGTAATTTCTATGATTATTGTAGTTGACATTAGAGATGGACCTTTTTTGGTTGTCATATTCAGAAATACGATTTTACAATAGTTTCATGATGTGATTGATATATTCTGTGTGCTCTTGCTGCCTGGCCGCCATTTTTAATATGAATATTTTTCCTGTAACTCATATTTCGTAACTCATATTTCATTGTATAAATGACTTGTTGAAGGTAAACTAATTCAAAAATATTTCAGGGCATGAAATGTTTCTGGGAATGTTAAATTGCTTAGGAATTTGTTTAATTATTAAGGATTTTCGTACTTAGCCATATTAAACAAGCTCCCGTGACTTTCTCCACCACGTTTAGAGGTGCTAACAAGCGGAATTCTATTTGTTTAGGCCTAAGTTATAAAAAAGATTTAATTAGCAAAATAGGCAAAGGGGGGAAGTGCGTTATTGTCACCTCACTGTCTATCACCTTGGTGTCCTTCAATAATGTTGGGTATTCAACTAATGGTCCAAATACTGACACATTTCATACGATATTCTGTCTACTCTATACTGTTCACTAACACACCCCAGTTAGATAAAAAATTGCAATAAATAAGATACCGAATAAACATAAGAATATGAAAGTCAATCAAGGCAAAGATAGATCATATTTTATTACAGTAAATGATACCATTAACTAGATAAGGTAATTCCCTCGGAATTAGTCCTTCATAGCTATTCCACTTCTAAGACATAATTCTAGAACCACAAGTTTTCTAGGATTAGGTCTGGAGATTTTTTATTATAAATACCAATGCAAAGGATGTTTATAGTAACTGAGTAATGTAATTTTGAAAGAGTGTTTTTCGGAGGTTAAGTAGGGAGAATGTTGTGTAATCGTGGGGCCCCACGGATAGATTGAGGCAAGGATTCAAATACTATAGAAGGATAGTCCTCCGCGATTGTAGCTACGCCAAGCGGAAGTAAAAGATCTTCAGTAAAAGCGATGTTTTTTTGTTTTTTGTTAGGTTAGGTTAGGCCTTTTCGGTTTCATGTACTGCATATATATATGCATTAGCAGAAACGCCCACTCCGGAGCATCCAACATAGAACTGTCCATGAGAGAAGCAAGGAAACACCAGGTTTAGGCCAACCATCTTTAGGGACTGTCCCTGGCTTTTGTTGATGGTCACTGCAAAGCTCACTTTAACCGGGAACTGAAGTCGCTTGAACTCAAATGGCAGGTCATTGGTGATGAGAGGTATCCTTTGTATAAACACGTCCTCTCCTTTAGCTTTTCCTGTTAGTATTGTAGCTTCCAGTACATGTGACATCATGTTCTTCACCACCAGTCGTGAGAATGCCTTTCTGCTGTTTGCTCTCTGTCAGCATTATGATGGGATTCCCTTTCTTGATCTGCTTCCTGTGACCAACGTTCCGCTGTTCGCTCTCTGTCAGCATTAAGACGGGAATCCCTTTCTTGATCTGTTTCCTATGACCGATTTGCTGCTGTTCGCTCTCTCTGAGCATTAAGACGGGATTCCCTTTCCTGTGACCGACTGTCCACTGTTCGCTTTCTGTCAGCGTTAAGATGGGATTCCCTATCCTGATCTGTTTCCTTTGACCGACTTGCCGTTGTTCGCTCTCTGATAGTTTTTAACGTGCAGCACGTTGTTGTGTTGATTCACTTGATCTTGATTGCTGCTTTCTCAGTGCATCTCTCTGTCTTCTTTCAAAAATTGACAGCCTTGGTTGTTTCTTTGGCGTCATTTTGTTCAGTTAATTTGATCTTAATTTTTCAGCGCGATTACAATCCTTCCTTCCCCGGGCAAAGCTGGGAACAAACAGTGGCTCAAGCTGGTAAGCTACGAAACAACGAGCGAACAGTTCTTTGACAAAATGTTGCCATGTATCACCGAAACAATGCACGAACAGTCCCTCGGCAAAATGTTGCCATGTACCACCGACGCTCTTTTTTTTATTTATATAGAGACGCTCGTGGGCCATGGGTTTCGAATCCTGGCGGGTTGAGGTGTTGATTGCATGTAGAAGTCCACGAGCTTTATTGGGCTAACGAAATATATATGGATCCTCGTGTTTCGAAGCCGGATTTGGTAAAAAGTTACTCTCACCACCTAAGTGGTACGGGTAGTCCCCATTAGAGGTTCACGGCGCCATAAACTCATTGAACAGGCTTTGTGTGAAGTATAGAAGAGTCTAGGACTGCTTTTAGTATCACATTCAAAATTGAAAGAGAAATAAATGAATCCCTTCCATTTCTTGATATGCTTATCATGAGGGACAATATTATTAAGCTTGTCTAAAAATTCCAATGGGTCACTGTTTTTAGGCCAAAGACAAAGAACATCATCCCTTCCATTTCTTGATATGCTTATCATGAGAAATGGCCAAAACTATAAATTTAAGGTATATAGAAAGCCCACACAGGTAGACAGTTTCATTCACTTTTTATCGAATCACCTTGAGTCTACCAAAATGTCAGTTTTTTCTGCTATGTTCCTAAGATGTCTGCGTATTTGTGACTCTGAATTTATTGACGATGAATTGAAACACATTCGTTCTATTGCACAGAAACTTGGGTACCCCTCTGTGTTTGTTGATCGTTGTTTTAAAAGGGCTAAAAAATCCTTTCATTCATCTCAAACCA